TATAGCACTGAAACCATATCTTCAAGCATATTTGTTGCTCTAATCTACTCACTATCTAATTGATGGCAACCTATAGCTACTACTTGGAATCCCTAGAGAATGTTGCCTCTCAATCTTTGTCATTGTAGAATATATCTACCAGGTTGACCGGAGATGATGGAATCATAGGATCATGATCAAATTAACAATTCATCACAAAACATGCCTTAAATATCAAGCTGAAATTAACCATCATCAATTTATGTGATGTCCTTAATTGAAAGCGTGATGCAACATTATGTTTCAACTGTACTTAACAATAATGGCTTGCACTCATAGGAAATCTCAATCCCAAAAATCTAATACAAACACTAAATAGTAAGAAAATGTTGACTAGCAAAATCTATAACGAAATAAAATATTTACCTTTAAAAACTCCATGTTACTTGACACTCGATCCCTAAACCTAGAGAGCTGAATGGAGGGAATAACCCCAATACCACATGATACCTTTCAAAGCCTCCAATGATTAGTTAAAGGACCCCTCCTAGTGTAGGAGAGCAAGCTAATGTGCTTGTGCCAATGAAAGACACGACAAGTGCAAGAAAGCATACTAGTGCTAATGATGAAGCCTATAGATGTAAAAATGTATGGTATAGTGCATAGGCTAATGATAACCCCTACAAAGAGTAGAGGAGAAAGCTAATCTATTGGCGTGAATGATGAATTCTACAGATGTAGGAGATCAAGGTACAAGTTGCTACCAAATGATGGCTCCCATATAATTAGATGTTGTGAATTCAATGTGCACAACTGAAAGAATAAGATGTGCTGACTGAACAATGCGCATAAGAGAAAACAAGCTATAGTACTTGGGATAATGATTGCCCATACAAAGGAGGGAAATTGTTGATGAGTTTGTGTAAATGATGAATCCTACAAAAGCAGAAAAGCAAGTTGCCAGCTTGTGGCAAAATGATGCCTAATATATAATTAGATCATGTCGAATTTATAGGGAAGTGATGTAAGAATGAGATGTGTATATAACTACCTTACATAATCTACTTGTGTTAATGATGAACCTTGCACATGCAAGAGAGCAAGCTTTAGTCTTCCAAAAATGAAATAGAGTTGCAAGTCTATTAATCCCTAGATAATTCATTCCACAATATTCATTGAAAAATCCATCTTCAGCCATGTTCCACTTCTACCCAAAGGCCCACTGCTATATCTAATCCTCCATAAGAAAGTATCTCCAACACTAATGCCATTTGAATCCACCTCTACAACTAAAAGCATCACTTATTTTAAATACAACAATAACGAGGAGAAGAAGCTTTTACCCCGCTAAGTGGGATCGGCTGCATGAATCATTTTTCGCCATTGTGTTCTATTAAGTGTCGTATTTCATTTAATTCTAATAAATTAATATCATTTTTATACAATATGCCAAAGTTTTTAGGTCTACATCTACCTTTCTTAGCATAAGTCAAATAAACATCTACTCTCCTAATAGGGTCATGAGATAAATGGCATTTAATGTGGCCAAACTATCCCAGGAGACTCACTCAAATTTTGTTTGCCACTATAACTACTCCAACCCTTTCACAAATATTTTTATTTCGCATTTTATCCCTAAGAGTAAAACCACTCATCCACCAAAGCATTCTCATCTCAACAACACTTAATTTTATGCTTCTCTTTTACAGGTCAACAATCTGCTCCATAAAGCATTGTAGGTCTCACCACCATCTTTTAAAATTTTCCATTAAGTTTAAACAGTACTTTTCTGTCACACAATAGACCCGAAACATTCTACACTTCAAACATCCAACTTAAATTCTACTAATAACATCCCCATCTACATAATCATTACGTTGAACAATAGAACCAAGATATCAAAAATATTTGCTCCTTTTAATGACTTAATCACCATTGTTACAACCTCGCCATTAGATCTACTATTGCTAAAATTACATTTCATGTATCCAGTCTTAGATCTACTCAAACGAAAGTCTTTAGAATCTAAAATTGACCTCCATAATTCCATTTTTTCCTAAACTCTATCTAGTTTATCCACAATAAAGATATCATCAGCAAAAAGCGAATACCAAAGTATATCCTCCGGTGAATGTCCAGTAAAAATATCTATAACTATAGCAAAAAGATATGGGTTTAAAGCCGATTCCAGATGTAATCCAACTAAAATAGAAAAATACTTGGTCAATCCTCCAATTGTTCGAACAAGTAACAACTCTAGTATACATATCTTTAATGAATTAAATATAAGCAATATCAACATCTCCCTTTTCAATAATTCTCCAAAGTACTTCTCTTGGAACTTTATCATAAGATTTTTCTGAATCAACAAAAATCATATGTAGATCCTCCTTGCTCTCTCTCTATACTTTGTCATCAAACCTCTCAATAAAATATAGCTTCCATGGTAGACTTGCTCGACATGAATCTAAACTAACTTTGAGAAGTTTTTGTATCACGTCGTAACCCATCTTTAATTAATCTCTATCACTCATTTTAAATATCATAAGAAAAAACATATGCAACCAACCCCAATGCAAAGCCCAAATCTTATTTTTAGAGAACACTCAAGATCTAGAGGATGAGGATATTAAAGAGATCATTGATAATACACTTCTTCGGGATGATGATTTGGGAAACATGATTGAGCACCTAAATAGTAGGATGAAATATATAGCTATAAGACAAAGTGAATCCAAAGCTAGGCGATAAGAAATATCTTCATTATTTACATATAATGATAAGAGATGTATGTTAATGACTAATAGAGGAATAATATGAATGTCATATACACCAAAGTATTATTATGGATAAATCTGAAGACTGAGCATCATCCAAAGCCCTTTCATTAAGATGGGTGAAGCACACATCGCTCTCAATGTACACCAAAGTATTATTATGGATAAATCTGAAGACTGAGCATCATCCAAAGCCCTTTCATTAAGATGGGTGAAGCACACATCGCTCTCAAAAACTACTAGTTATATGGTGCCTATAAAAATTGATAGCTATGAAAATAATTTGTGATGTACTATACTTCCAATAGATATGGCCAAATAAACTTTCAACCAAACTGTGATGTTTCGACATGAATGCTATTCATTATGATGTAGAACACTTATATATTAAGTTTTATAACAACATCATCCAAATATACCATGTTAAGCCCACTAATAAGATCAACCTAACACTTCCACCCAAAGTCACATCAAAAGAATTTCCAAATTTTTATTACTTAAAATTGAACTACTTACTACTATGAAGTTTCAATATGATGTTGACCAGTTTGTCATTGTACCAATTGTAGATCTAGATACCATTTTTAAGATTTTTGGGTTAAAGAGTTTGCCCAAGATTACTCATCTCTCATATTGCAATAACACATAGAATGCACCATATTTCAAGTAAATTTTTTTATGGAAATAGTAAGACTGGATGAGTTGCACAATATCATGATACTTGATAGAGATGCCAGAATCAATTGTTAATTTTTAATAATCTATGCTTTTAGTTCTAAAATATCACCTAACATAGCTAATGTCCATGCAGATGTATTTTCATATTCTACATTTATTATTGTTTCGGATGTTATTGGTTTACATAAAAATATTAAGAAATAAATCGAACCAAGTAGCACTATATATGCTAATTTTATAATTTAGACTAAATATATAATGGATATAATTAAAGTATGTGATGATATGTATCAGACTTCAAATAAATATCTCCAGATTCAAAAAACATAAAGTGGAAAAGATACATATGAATGAAGCATCATCAAATGACACTAGAGGTTTATGGTGAGGAAGAAGAACGAATCACCCACTCATGCTATATGATTTCCTAGAGATGATTTGTAGAAGAGAGCACCCGATTTCATTAAGGACTACTTGAACTTCAACTCTTTAGAGAAAAGTACTTTAAGATTAGTCATAAGGATTATATACAAAATTAAAAATGCCTCATCAAAAGAAGCAAAAACATGATGAAAAAAAATTTATTATGATTACTTATTTAAAAACTTTTATGATGTATATTTCTGCAAAACTACGTTATGTTTGCTCTTGTAAACTTATATATAAATAATTAAAATTTTAAATTTCAAATTAATTTGAATTTTTAAATTTCGGAACAAAATTATGCAACATGAGAAAAACAATTAATTATGATTCAAAAAAGCTCATCTCATTACAAACAAACTTTAAAAACAAAAGTTATGGAAGATCATTAAATCCCCACTTCCCTGGGTCTACTACCAAGCCTTTGGGGGTGTCTGGTAGCACATTTTAATTGGATTTATCACCAAATTTATTAAATCCAACCAAACACTAAAATGTAGGAGTTTCATAGGTTTATGAATTTTTGAATTTAGGGTACCAAATTTTGCCATCGATTCAGCTAAAATCTGGATTTACTAAATCTGGAGATCGGGAAATTTAACAGATTTACGATTTAAACCCTACTTGCAGCCAAAAAACCCCTTTAAGTCTTAGATAAAACTCTATTTTTTTTTTCACAAACAACAAAATTGTTCATTCAGCAAATTAAAAAGTAAATAGGTCTCATGCACATAATGAAAAAGAGACAAAGAGGGCCAGAGCGGCCTCTTCTTTCAAAATGATGGGGTCCTAGCCCCTAATGATGTAGAAATCCTAAAAGAATCATAAAAGAAAATTAATTAAATAACTGTAAAAGCATGCCATGTGAATGATTCGGCCCCGAGGCAGCATTCTGGAGAACCCACTCATAGCACAATCCAATCTATCAAACTATAAGCATAGCTCAAAAATGAAGAAAGAAAATCCAAATCCTTGATACTACCAATTTTTTAAGAGAGCAGTATTACAACAACTCCAACTTGATCCTACGCATTACCAGAGGATATAAACACTACGCGGCAAATGAATTAGATATTCAGATAAAGTTAAAATAAAATAAAAATGAAGCTTGAGCAAGAAGACATTGAAAAGAACATAACAAACCTTTAGGAGCTCATTGGCCTCGAGGGCTTCGACCATGGCGCCCGCGACAGTAGGGGTGACACCAGATTTGCCGACCTGCTGGCATTTGAGCTTCTTACCGAGGCTATGAGCATAGGAAGCTAATTCCTTCTTCTCCTTGATGGTGAGCTTAGGGACTGGGAAGCTCGGAAGCCACACTTTGACTGATTCGGTCGCCAGGGATTCATCTTCTTCCCGTAATTTATCTGCATCTTCTAAGTCGGAGATTATGGGGAAGACGGAATCTTCGTGCCCGGTTTCGCGGCGGAGGTGGGCAGTGCGCGCGAAAGAAGATGGGGTTGAGGATAAGTGACGCGAAGAGCGATCAAGGAGGAGAAACTGGGAATGGAGTGGGATTGAGGAAGGAGGAAGGACGGAGGTAGAAATGAAGAATTTTTGAAGGGAGGAGCAAAGAGAAGATGATGAAATGGTAGAGAAGCCAGAGAGAAGAGCCGACGAAACCAGCGCCATTTTTTCGTATGGCCTCCGGTTGCGGAGAGCTATCACGCGTATGAACCCGAATAATTAGTGGTGGTTATTGATAGATTATTAGGGTAATTAAATCAATAACATTTCAATAACTGCTAAATAACCTAGCAATATATTTTGTGATTTCACACTATTTTTTTTCCTGTCATTCCAGAGTTTTGTAAGGTTATTGGGTGTATTAACCCTAATAACAACGAAATAACCCTCAAATAACTCCAGAATAACCGTAACTCGCACGCACGCAGAATTGTGTGCATATGACGTACATAAATATTTTTCTGCGGGCTATTGGTTTGATGTATCAATTCATTTGGATGGCTATAACTTCTTACAAAAGGGAAATTTACATTAACCCCAATAACTGCGACATAACCCTCCAATAACTCCCGTATAACCGTTATACGCACGCAATTCTGCGTGCGTATGACGTGCGGAAATATTTTTCTACGGGCTGCTGGTTTGATGTATGAGTTCATTTGGATGACCGTAACTTCTTACAAAAGGGAAATTTACACAGTTAGCATGTAGTTCTTATGAATTCAGATGTCTCCCATCAATTAATTTTTATACAGATATTTCTACGTACAGTCCACCCAAAAATTGTTATTTAGAAGTCAACCACCCTCTTTCATCCATTTTTTAATTCTCACTCAAATATCAAAATTTAATGTAAAACCCAGTTTTTTTTTAGTTTTTATCAAATTCTCAATAGTTTGATTATGACACGCATAAATATATCAGCTTGATAGTTAAAAAAATTACATCGGTGATTAATTTGTAAATATCAATGTTTGGGGTGATCTATATGTAATTATCCCTATATTTATAATATATTTTGTGAAAATATAGCATTATCTGTAAAAAAAAGCTATTAAATTGTATAGTTGTAGGGTTATAAAACAAAATTCTTTTGATGCTCTTGAGTCAGATTCTCTGTTCTCTTCATCTCTAATTTTTTATAAACTCAATGGCTCAAAAGAATAAATTGGCTGTGTAATTTTTCTTTGTTGTTGGCAACATATTAAATATATACTTTTGACAAATCTTTTTCAAATAATGGCATTCTATAGCAGAAACAAAAGGATACATAATGTGCATACTTCCTCAAATTATAAAGAAAAAAACAAAAAACAAAAAATATTGTTGCTTTAACATGATACCAATTTGCTATACATGCAAAAAATTCTATGCTTCATGATTGCTTCAATGGATACAGTCATAGTGTGACACCAATACAAAAGCTTCTTAAGAATTTGAGCATAAAAAAATGACTCGGTATAATGATACCAATGGAAAACTTAGATAATAGGTTATTGAGTGACACATTGCACTGCAAAATACTAAAAACTACAAAGTGCTAGCAAAATAAGCCAATGAACCCCATGTAGGAGCAATCCTCTACTTTATCCTCTTTCGAGTGCATAACGTAGTTTGGTTAAACCAGTTTTAATTCTTTGAACCCCAGTTTGAACCCATTTCCCTATCTATTTGCATCGCCCTATGAACCACTTTTCCTTCACTCACTAGTTTGTTGTGAATACTCTAACCGTTCCTCCATCATTCTTCCGTGTCATAATGAATTACAACAAATTTTAACAGTTCATATGGTCAGTATGAAAACTAAATTAAGTTTTGATGAATACTAATCACAATAATGTTTAAAGATCAATTCTACAAGCATCCTAACATACTACACATTCAATTTATTCATCATAAAAGAAAGTTAAGAAAGTTCTACTCACAATGCTTGAAGAAAATACCACAAATCATCATCTTATAACAAAGCAAATCCACTAGAATTATTTTTACAAACATTACAAGACAATATAGAATATAAAACTTAGTTTTTTCCCTTGAAAAGAGATGAAAAGTCCTCCTTAAAAGTTTTCCAAGTGCTCCCTGCAATGTTGAGTATAACCCCTTACAGATTTTCTTTATAATTCCTCTCCAATCTCTCTAATAAAGTGGAAAATATCAAACCCTAACTTTGCACTATGACTCCTCTACCCTCCTCCACTTCCCAAGGCTTCAAAATGCTCTACAATGCTCCCTTGAACTACTTAAATCAACCTTATAACTCCTTAAGTTGTGCTGCAGTAACTGCAAAAAATTGCCCAGGAACTGGCCAGTGCCTTGGCGCCACAGGGTTAGCACCTAGGTGTCGACCTCTTGGTTTTTTCGACTGTGTTTTGGCACCTATGCGCCCAATAAGCTACCGCCAAGGAGCTTGGGTGTAGTGCCTTGGCCCCCAAAGGTTGGCGCCTAGGCACCAATTAGCTGGTTCCAATATGCTCCGTGTCACTCCATTTTAGCTCTGATTCTCTCTATATGTCTTACTTGTTATACCTGTAAGAAAAATACTAATATAACTTTCTTTAAAGTGCAATTTTATCTATAAATATGTGAAATATATAAATAAAAGTAAGCATGCTTTAGAACACATCAATTGTCAGATGATGAAAATTAAAAATTTTTTATATTCATTGTTTGACTAGAATTTAACGAATGAAAGAGCCACTAAAAAATTAATTAAAGCAATACAATTAAATTTTACCTCATTTATAGTCGTCCTCGGCACTATAAATATTTTCTTGTCAATCATTTATCATTTAATAAATTAATTAAATTTGAAAAGATTGTTACAAAAATTGTTAGCTAAATAAAGCTAATGAATAAGCATACTTTTATGTAATTCAATGAAAAGGAAAAAAATATGTATGCCAATTAAACAATAAAAAAATAAGGGTCCCTGTCGATTTGTACTTATTATTATGATCATTCAAAGGTGAATTTAAACTTTCACTATATTTTACTATATCGTTTACATATCATTTTTTTTTTTAATCTGCATACATCCATCACATAAACACCATAAAAATAATACAATTTAATGTATTTTAATATCAATATCCTTTTTCATTTATGTGCATGGGTACTTTAGTATTCCCCAGATTGTACCATAAATGAGTGATTCCATCAGAATCAACATGCACATGCAAACAATCAAACATTTTTATTTTATTTCAATATCATTCAATAACAGGAATCTTGCATTTACATGATAAACAAATATCAGTAGCATACATCAATATGACCAATTGAACCTAATGTGACAATAAAGCACATCTAAGCAAGTCATAGAGTGAATTAAATTTAGAAGAAGTCAAATAATACTAAAATTTAAAAGTATAAGTACTTATCTAACCATTTTTTATGATTATTGTAGCCAATTAATCATTGATGTTCTATATATAGTGTATAAAAAAGAAAAATATAATATTTTATCACTTCATAAGTCTTTTACTCAAAAGTCTAAAGTATTTTCTAAGTACATGTTATTTTATATATTAATATATCTTCTAAATTAAAAGACATAAAAGTAGAACTTGCCTCAATTAATTTTATTTTTTTCCTCCTTCCTCGATCACCTTTCTTAATTATCTTATCAAAAGTCTGATTTAATTAAAAGTACTCTTAATATATTAATAGTTAGACATATATATATTAAATTGATAGTAATATACTAGAACTTTAACTCACCTTAACTTTTCTTCGCTGCCATCCCCCTCTAATCGATCTAAATTTGAAGCTTCAATTGATTGAATCTTAATTTAATTAAACCCTAATATTGTCAAATAATAATTAGATATATATATGGATGCCAACCAACAGGCCGGGTATATTTATATTTGTATGTGTGTGTGCTGCGTACCAAGTACTGTTTGTGTGTGCGCTGCGTACCAGGCTTGTTGGTTGGCATCCACAGTATAAGACCCCTGAGGTCGGGGATTCAAATTCTCTTTGGCACAATTGGCCTTAAAGTGGTGGTACTCAAATTGTTAGGCACATTAGGAGTGACTTCAAAAACATTCAACTTATATTTGTCTGTGCCATATTGTTTTAAATACTCAAATTGTTAGGCACATTAGCACAAAATATATCATGTTTGTGCCATATTGTTTTGAATCATGGATCATATTTTGAAATTTATTTACATGATCTAATACAATGTGAGAAACATTCAACTTATATTTGTTGAATAATTCAACCAAATATTTTGTAAATCTACACCTTTATTTTATTTTTTGATTCAAGTGCTTTCTAAAGTTCAAAAGAACATGTTGACGTGTAAAACATATCCTAAAGATGGATAAAAAAGAGCACTAAAAATGCACCCAAGATAAAAAAAAAAAAAAAACAATATCTTATTTAGATTTTCCTTTACCTAGTCATTCATTAGAAGAGAAATTATATTCATTTTTTAAATTTGGTTCAGATTTATGAGGAGAAGATATTGCAAAAATTAAGCTTAAATTGTTAAGTAATACATGTTTTTATTTGGATCATTTAAAATGTGTTAGTATAAGTTTTTTAGTGCAACATCATCATGATGAAGTGATACTTGTATATAAAGTTTTTTTAAATTGATGAGAAACTCCTAATCTACTCATAGATTATTGACCTATAAAATTAAATTGATAATATAAAATTATATTTTGAATATAAAATTAAAAATAAATTTAAGATAATTAAACAAATTAAATAATAGTAGTGAGATTAAAATAGTCTGGGAGGGAAGCATGTCGATGACACTATCCTTATATTAGATTAACTATTGAGCACACAATTTATGTCTCTCTCTTCTAACAACGAGTGCTCTTGCATTGATTATGTGTGCACCTTCATTATTAATTGGCAAAACTTCAAACTAATCTCATGCTATTTGCCTAAGAGAAATGAAAATATGATGGAATAATAAGAAGGAAAGTTCATGGAGAAAGTAAGTGAGTATTCAAAATTCTTTCATTGCTTTTGAGCTTATATTATCATGCATTTATAAGTGAAAGATTAAAGCATAATAATAACATATTCTATATAATTTATAGCTATTAAATGATATTAATTTAAATTATATGTTTATAAATTTATTTTATGTTATATTTCAAAATATTAACATTTTATAATATTAATAATATTAATTCAACATTATTAAGTTATAACATTATAACATTGTAGTGCTATAATGCTACAT